TCATTAATGCCTTGAGCTCCTCAGCCATTTTCTGTATGGCCTTTGTTACTAACTTCATCTTTCGTAAGCGATGAAATAGAGCAACTAATTGATTTTTCTACAATTCCATTGCCACATCCTCTCGTTACATATTCAATTTCCTTTCTATATCGTTGGAAGCAGCCGATCTTTTAGTTTTTAGCCTGCAACTTTTTGAATATTGCATGATTTTCCATTGCTTGGCTCATTTTTGTAAACTTTGAAGAATCACTTCAATTGACTGATTCCTGGTTTACTTTGCTCAAGTTTTCCACAAATGGTTTCGATTTGTTGACGATTGAAATTTGATCAATAAATTTCTCATCTAGCCAGAGTTTTCATATCATAAACTCACATATTTTGATGCTCAAATCAGAGCAAGAGGAGAAATGGCTATCAGGCTATCTAAGTGGGAGATATTTGAATTTGCATGCTTTTCTTCCCTTAGGTGGAGCATTTATAGATTTTCCTAAGGCTTCGGGGATAAATGGGTCATTTGGGATAAGCAATAGCTGGCGGCATCTTATTGGTTGGTTTGTAACTGGTTCTACTTTTAAGTATCACGTTTTGTTCACCAGCTTACATATCATGCCCACATTGGCTTTAAGGTCATGCTTTGTGTTACGCCCCATCCGAACCACTTCGAAAAGTCCACCACCATGTCAAGCAATCCGAACCACTTCGGGAAGTCCACCACCACGTCATACGAGGTGTGGAACACTCATCCGAAGTGGTTCCTAAGAGACTTCACCAATGATAATGATCTGCTATCACACTACGAGGTATAGACAATTCTACAGAACTGACCAAAGCGCTCTTGCCTCTGAATCCAAGGCGAAATGCACTCCGGGAAGCTCTGTCAGAGGATCCGCCGCCAATTTCAGAATGAGATCTTTGTCAAGATCTTTTTTGCCCCTAAGGTTTAAAGTGATTTGACGTCTCCATGATGCTAGTTGATGTGACGCATCAACTTTATGTCAACTCAACTCAAGAGAAGTAATTACCCGTCCACTCTATAGATGATGCTGATTGACGCCTATGAGCAGACGCCTCATACCGTCAGATGTGTATACGTGTCCCACATCCAACGGTTCTTATCACCTATAAATACCCAAGGCTTGACAAGAGGCAAAGGTAATGAAACTCTTACTACTTAGCACTCCATAGCAAGCAAACATATATTCTCCTTCCACTATTTTGCACAACCTTGGTACTGTTCCGATCACTTGAGCCTAACTTGACCGTGGAAGTGTATACGGTCGCCATCATCCCCGCTGGTTCCGGCTGTGTGCATCTGACCGTGCGTTGATTGTGCACAGGGAGTAATACGTGGAGTGGCTATCAGTTGGCTATGTGGAGGGTCCAATTTCTGAGATCAATAGATTGGCGCCGTCTGTGGAAAATTCCCGTTCAAAGTTCTACATTCTCCACCGGAGAAATCACCGAAAAACTAGCGACTTACCCTGAAAAGGGTATGTTCTTGAAAAGAACAAAGTCGAGTTATAATCTAAATTCTCATCACCCTTGAAAAAGGAGATAGAATGAGTTCTAGCCATGAAGACGACAACCCCATGAGAGAGGCCTCTGAAGAAGGGGTGCTCCATAATAATGTCACTCACCAGAGACCCCATCACTGGCGTCGCCGAGGTGAAAGAACAGCCATGCTCACTGAAAAAATGGCTCAAATAGCGGCGCGCGTGAGAGATATCGCAGCTCAGAATATGGCGATGCATGAACTTCTCATGTAAGGCCGAAGTCATCAGGGCTCTCAAATGCCCCAAAGATCTTACCCAGTGCAGGAAGCCCCTGTATCTCGTTCCCAT